GTTGTAGGTGATTTCACATCCTTCAAAAATCATATAGAAAAATTTGAATACTATTACATATACTAATATAATATTTTAGGTGTTCTTAATATTAAACGTACAAATTTTATATTCTCTTATACAAAATAATGTAAATTTTATATTCTATTATACAAAATAATTTTACATTGTTTGACCCTAAATCTTTAATTTATAATTATTAAGTATTGTTTATTCTCCTTTTTAATTTATAATTATTTTTTTTCTTCCTCTTTTTAAATAGGATCAATAGTAATTTTCACTTCCGCCATTGAGTGACTCAAACTCGAGATTTATTTATAATATTGTTAATTTAATATTGTTCCCGTGCATCGCACGGGGTGTACACTAGTTAAATAGAAGGTACAGATTAGATTTTGAGACCTACAGAGTATGTAATAGCCGCAAGGAGAAGACAAGCAGGATTTTGACGAGCAACGCCTAAATCATTCACTTCTTTTTCTCTATATTTTTAGATACACTTTTGCTAGACTTTATGGAAGCCCTGTGCGGCTAATTTTCTTTTGCTTCGGTTGAGTACAATTGAAACCCCGAACTTAATACTGTGAGTCTAATTCGTTTTTATCTATTAATTCATATTTCGTATTAATTGTTTTGTGTGTTCATATTTATTTTTGTGTTAGGATTGTAGGCTGATAAACTATTGTCTTATTCACCTAATCTATTGCTTGGTAGATATTGAGTCGGATTTAGATTATTTATCTATCGTAAGAAGCAACTGAGTGTAGTAATTGACCGAGTTTAGGCGTCATCATTCTTAGGAAAAATAATTATGCAAGTTAGCATTTAACTGATTAGTTATTTGTTGCTTGTGTTGTCGGGCTCTAATTCTTAATGCTATTGCTAGGATAATTTTAAACGATGTTGGGAATTGCCTAGTAATTAGGGTTGTGTAGAAGGATTTATTTTGCATAGCCAATTTAGGAGTCATAATTCATCATTCAACGGCATCTACTTATTTATGAATTGATAAAATATTCGCATCAAGAATCAGTAGAATAATTTGGGGTGGAAATCAATTCAACCGGAGCACTTTTGTAATATTGTTCATCTTCATCTCACTGTTTACTTGCGAATATATTATTTAAGAACTGTTTACTATTACTCTCTTTATTTTCGTGTTAATTAGGTAACTAGTAGATATCATGTGCACATGCACAGATGTACATAAAATATTAGTAAGTAATATTTAAGAATTTAATATTAAAATTCTAGATAATGAACATATTATATTTTCAAAAATTTGATCATTAGAAAAAATAAATTAACGATTTTATTATTATAAACAATTTATTATCATTAGATAATAACAGTTTGATTATTATTATTATTATTGTTATTATTATTATTATTATTAATAAAAAAAAATTATTTAAAAACTTCTAAAGTTGTTTGACTATGCTATTAAAACAATTTACTATTTGTTTTTAAAGAAATTTTTTCATGAAATACAAAAGACAAAGATAATATTGATGTTAATATAAATAACTTGAAACAATTGTTTATAATTATGTAATTTATATTATTGTGAATTATTATTAGTTGGTATTAGCAATAATTGTTATATAATATAAGAGAAAAATACATGATTACACTTAATAGGATGTGTTAATGTGAGAAGTAAAAAAATATAAATGATAAATTTTGTAACTGAAAATAGAGGAAAAATTATAATGGTTTTATTAAATAGATAAAATTAAATACTAAGCTAGCAATTATATATATATATATATATATATTAATATAAAATAATTGTTTATAAGATTCTAAAGTTGTTTAACTATGCTACTAAAATAATTTACTAATTGTTCTTAAAGAAATTTTTTAATGAGATACAAAAGAAAAAGATAATATTGATGTTAAAATACATAACTTGAAACAATTGTTTATAATTATGTAATTTATATTTATTGTGAATTATTATTAGTTGGTATTAACAATAACTATTATATAATATAATAGAAACATACATGATTACACTCATTAAGATGTATTAATGTGAGAAGTAAAAAATATTAATGACAAATTTTGTAACCGAAAATGGAGAAAAAAATTTAGAGGTTTTATTAAATGTTTTATTAAATGCTACATGCCAGCAATTATGTATATATAGATTAGGATTATAAATCACTTCTCTCCCATTTTAATCATATAGTTAGAGTTATTAAATTATTCCCCGTGGATACGATCTTTGCTCACGCTACTACATATATTCAAGCAAAGTTAATTTGGGTGCCTACGACAGCACGATAATATGTTATGTAATTCTTCTCCTAAAGGTTTAGGATTTCACAATACACATGACAATAAATATTTATCATATAATATCAACAATAAATAAAAGGAACTTAATTAAATCACAAGTAAATAAATAGAAAATTTTCCTTTAATTTATTTTGCTTGTTTTACAATAAATCTTGTAGAAATGTTTTTATTTAAATCAATTAATTATTTTTAAGAGTAGAAAACTCACTGCCTCGATCAATAAGTTATGGACTAAGTTGGAACAGATTATAAAAAATTACAAAAGCCATTTTAATTTTACAAGATAATAGATATTATGTTATTCAAATAGACTAATAATTCAGTATATAATCAATGATGTGTTACTATTTAGTAATAGTAATTAGTAAGGACTGAACTGATTAATTGTTGTATCGTGATCAGATTATTCAAACTTTTGCTAAGATATAGCCCAAAGCCAGATTTGGTCTGTACTATTGGCCCAACAGGCATGACCATATAATAATTGGGTCATAACATTTTTATTGGGTCAGAGTGGCTTAGGAAAGATATTTTTAACTGGACCAATGAGCTACCTGAGGCTAATTTGGGCCAACGTTTAATTCTGATAATTATACACATCTTTTTTTTTCGATAGGAATTACATAGATTTACAACATAAAAACAAAACTAGAGAACAACTATTCAGCCAAATAAAAAGCCAACGACCGAATAAGCTCAATAGTTGATTCTAGTAGGGAGGACTACACGTACAAGCTGACGGCAGTCTAGAGGCAAACTACAACACAAAACACAACTAAAAAAAGGCCCAATGAGAGAATAAACAAAATCTCTCAACATGAGAATACACCAAACACATTCCCAACGGGAGAAAACACCAAATCACAGCACATAAACTCTAACATACAACCTAAACAAAACCAAACTACCCTTCCCACAGCCGGCTGAAAACCAAGAAGCTATCAGCAGCCCCATACCCGATCACATCTCGACCCGAATCACGCCCCAGGAAGCCGCTCCAGAAACTGCCTAATGCCTAATTGGATCCGCACCCCAGAAACACGACTAGCAATCAGGCGATCAGCTACTGCCCTTAGCCGGAGGACAACCCAGCCTTGCCCCCCACCACACCGGCACTCCAATCCCCGCCAACACCACTGGCCGAAATCGGAGGCGCCGGTCAGCAAATAATCCCGAGCACCAAGGGAAAGAGAGGCTCAGGGGACAAAAAAACCCGGTGAATTCGCCGCCCCGACTGCCTGACCACTGGACAGTCTGAGCTGCAGCCGCTCCCTAGACCTCATGGCCGCTCCACCTCCGCAACACCAAAAGGTCGAGGTTCCACCACATAACAGCGCCAGATTTTGGCGAAACCTGTCTGCTACTCCCGTCACCTCCAACATCTCAAGGGCGAAGACCACCGTAAGCCAGGGAGAGGCCGCTCCGGCCAAAGACAACCTGAGCCTTCTGGCTCCCAGCTGGGGAAGGCGCACTCACAATAGTAGCCGGATGAAAGAGAAGAAGAAATTAGGGTTTATCAGCAATTTGAGGATTTTTGCTCACTGATAATTATACACATCATTGAAAGTTAATTCATAACTAAAATTAACACATTCGAATCTTAATTGCTCCTTCACAAGGTTATTTAATTAGAAGGTAGATGTTATTTGAACTAGTACACATTATTACTTTATCAGTGTTTTAAAACGCGTATAACATAATATGTCGCGTTTTGGTTTTTATACTGCGTAGCGTAAATAGCGTTGCGTGTTGCGTAAGCTATTTAGGTATAAAAAAGTATTTTTATAGAAATATTATAAATATATTTGCATATAATAAAAGTGGATGGTTGATTCTAAAAAGCATCATAATATTTGAATGAATTCAAAAATAACATCTAAAAATTATTTTCTCACAAATGTTTAATGTAAATATCATAATACAAATATTTAAATAATAAAAGCGAACATACTAAAAAGTAAAAACAGAAAACAAAAATATAATGAGATAAGTCATAGTTTAATTTTAAGTATATGTAATTTCATTATTTTTATTTAACTACAACTTAATTCTAACCACTATATATGAAGGTAATGTGGATGTGGGTTACTGACTTTAAAATTATGCCTTAATTTTGATACTAAATCGTAATTTACTTTTTGTACAAGTCTAAAAAATAATGAGAGATGTGGAAAAAGCAGGTCCGATCTCCAACTTGATCGAAGAGATAACCAAGAGAAGACGAACTGGCTTCTAAGGAACCCAGCCTTCCCCCTTTCCCTTTTCTTTTCGTACTTTATATCATAAGCGAGCAGCTACGCACCTGCCTGTTGGCTTACTTGATACAACTTGAGATACTCCATCTTATATGTGAGCTTGCCTTGGCACAACTCTAAATTGGGCCTTCTACCTCCACGTGGCATTGCTCCGTCAGGCTTTCGCCCATTGCGGAAAATTCCCCACTGCTGCCTCTCATAGCAGTGGGGTGGGGTATAAGCATTATTGATACAGAAGAAACCCTATATTGTATTGGGGTTTATCGGCCCCCATCATTCCATCCTCAAGGATAAGGATAAACTCCTCTTAACTTAAGCTAAGGCGCACCCCCAACTAAGTCAAAATCCGAAAAGAAAAGCTTATCAGTTCAGTCAGCGAATAAGGCTTCTCTGGCCGGGCCTGGTCACTGTGACCCCCTTTGTGAGGAGGCACCCATTGTAATGTGCTCTCCAAAGAGCAACTCTTCTCAAAATCTCACTCAAAAGGTGCTGAGTTGGAATCCCATTCTAACTAAGGATGCTTGTGGTTCCGGAGGTTCCAGCTACAGGAGAACCAAGAACATACGGGTATTATTTCCCGACGTTCCATATATGAACGTCTCCATACCGGGCTTATTGGTATTGATTCGATGATCCCAATAGGACGCGGTCAGCGAGAATTAATCATTGAAGATAAGCAGACCGGTAAAACAGCTGTAGCCATATATACGATTCTCGAGTCGGGCTTACCCGGCCTTGCAAATCCCAAGTTTGTCTATGAAGAGCAAATCTAATTGTATTAATGTCTAGAATTGATTTCTTCTGTGCAATAATCATCGATAGGGCCTCATCTGTAAGTGCTCCAAGATCTCTTGCATTGTAGGGGCGATTTGGGTGAGATCCAATGTAGATCCAACTTTTGATTCACTAGTGGGATCCGGGCACTCCGGAGGGACCACCATGGCTCCTCATATCCAGATTGAGATCGAGACCCTGCATGAGTAGCAACACCTGTAGAAGCACCGCCATTACTAGTAAAGCAGAGTAAGAAGTAGAGGGTGACGGAACTACATTCAAAGATGCTTATGGGCAGACCACGATCTTCATGGTATAACTGTACCACTGTACGAAATGGTACAAAAAGCATCATTCAAATGGTTGGATCCGTGCACAAACAATGCAAAATGTGTGACCAGGATGAATGACAGGGAACACAATCTGTACCTGTAGCACTAAAATAGCATAGCGCTGACTGACTTTTTGTATTTGTGTCTTGCAAGTGTACTTACAGAGTTGTACTGGGTACTTTATTGACTTGGCTTGGCAAAAGCGTCTGATCAGATCAATCTAGAAAGTGGTTCGGCGAAACCTCCTTTTTCTAAGCTAGGACGGAGCCGAATAGACCATTATACCCACAATGATCCGTTTCTCCTATTTTTTCCTCCATCTTCTCAATCTCTTCATTTTCATCCTCCCCCTTTTTACTCAGTTGAAAACACTTATCCTCGACCATTATCGACTATGCTTTACTTGTAGAAATGCATATTAGATCTGTCGATTATGTTACGGACCTACTCAAGGCGACCTGGTTGAATTAGGAGAAGTTGTAAGTATTATTGCAGGACAATCGATTGGAGAACCGGTACTCAATTAACATTAAGAACTTTTCATATCAGATGAGTATTCACGGAGGTACTGCAACCGAGCAAACGATTCCTTTTCTCAACCCATTTTTGACAGGTAATAATGAGTTACATTGAGAGGCGAACATTATAGAAACATTTGTCAACTAACATATTTTCAAATAATTATGCAAGTCAAGAAAGGATAAATATTGTGAAGTGTGAACCACTAAATATGCAAGGACCAACTCAATCTTACACGGACGATTAATAGACATTTGGGAGCGTGCGTATAATCAAAATTTCCTTTAAAATTGAGCCAATAGTATTTTATGTATGACTTTGTGGTTTGCATATTTTCTCATCATCATGTTGTAACAAAATGGGAAATCCTTACAATAACCATTTCATCTTAATGTACACAAAGAAAATTTTCTATGTTTCTAATTCTACACACAAGATTGTTGTGCAAATTGATATTAAGGTTATATATATCTTTAGAAACCGTATTTATAAATATATGAATCATATAATAGTTATAGGAAAATTATAGATTCTATGTAACTCTTCAAGTTTGAAAATTTATAAGGTTGTATCCATCTGAGATTTTACATGACATTTTAAGACTTTTAAAATCCAAAATTTTTTCAGATTTGATGATGAGTTTAGTGAGGTATAAATCTAAGTTAGAGATGTGATTCGTGGTAAGATATGATATATGTATTTTGTTTCTCAAATCTCATAAAGTTAGAAACAAAAAATAGTGATAAATAAATTATATCATGACTTTTAAAAACATTTTGAAATCACAATTGAATACCTCATAATTCTGTACAACTTTTTAAAGTCTAAGATGAATCAGTGAATTTCGAAAATCTCAAAAAAAAAAAAAAAAAAA